GAGAGAGAGAGAGAGAGAGAGAGAGAGAGAGAGAGAGAGAGAGAGGGCATGTACCTGGTTCGTGACGTTGATTTATTTGAGTGACATCTGCACGTTCTCTGAGTTCTTCTCCGGGTTGCAACATCATCATTTTAGTCCTATACCAAGGCTATGAGTGATATAGGACTATATCAGAGTTTATAGTCCTGTAAGTGATGTAGCACTATATCGAAGTTGTGTGACTGTAGTCCGGGAGCTGAGTGCCGAATAGGGAGAAGACACACTGGACACCGTGAGAGAGAGAGAGAGAGAGAGAGAGAGAGAGAGAGAGAGAGAGAGAGAGAGAGAGAGAGAGAGAGAGAGACAGAGACACAGAGGGAGAGAAGAGACTAAGACAGAGAGAGAGTTGAATGAGAGTTGAACAGGGTTACATACCTGATTTGGGAAGCTGTTTGCTACTGCACTGAATGAGCCCTGTGAGACTAGAACTCTAAATTTGTATAATATGATCATTCATTGAAGTTTATAAGCTGCGCTAATCTGATCTCTCCATCTCTGGACTTCGGTGTGGATTTTGTGAACTCTCATGGTGCAAATGCTGGGAGTGTCAATATAAGAGGTTCATTGCAGAAGATTGCTAAGGTTCATTGCAGAAGATTGCTATCGTGTCTCTTCCTTTTTTCTTTTCCGCCTTTTCTTCAATCATGTGTGAGGATTGAGCCCCCGCAAGCACCCTTATCCGGGCGTACAAACGTTCTGGGCTCAGTACCCCAGCAAGCCTCTCGCCCGCCCTCAGTGACGGCGGGCGTTCATATCCATGCGAGGCCTATTTTTGAAATTTTCCGTATGTGGGGTATCATACAGTTGCAGCACGTCAGTTGGTTACACAGCAACGTGAGCCTTCCCTGCCCCCCTCCAGAAGCAGCAGCTGCGTCGTACAGTTGAGCCCAGGGCTCATTCTGTTGAGGCCCTGGGCACACGCATCCAGAGGCCGACTGTGGACCAATGAGAAAGCAGCTCCCGAACACTTGGAGCCCCGTGGGCTACCTGGACGTGCCTAACTGCACGGGCCCCAGGAGAGTATCTGAAACTGGGCCTGGGCGCAGGCACTTTGGCCCACCGCGAAACTACTGGGCCCCAGCCAAGCAGGCCCACGCAGAGGACGAAGCAGGGCCCACTTTTTTTAAAGGAAAGTGCCTGCCCCAGCTCCAGGCATTCTGGCCTGCCGAGGCATTGCGGCCACGCTGCTGCTGTGCCGCATGAACGCTGTTTAGCGCTGACAGGCCAGGGCACACGCGGGCGCTTAGACGTGAGAGGGCGCTGGGGTGGCAGCGGGCGCACGACGGACATAGCTGGGCTGCACGTGCGGTGGCTGGTGATGGCGATGGTGGTCTTCGGGTAGGAGGCGCATGCAGAGAGGAGACGGGGTAATGAGGAGAGGGGTGAGACACATACCTGGTGTCTGCTGGCGGTCTACATTGGTGATTGACGTTACATACATTGGTCTTCAACTTCAATGTGTTCCTGTTGCATGAACGTAGACAGGCCAGGTAGGCTGAGTAGAGTAGGCTCGGCGCTGGGCGCCAGACAGTAGGAGCGACATTGGATACTATGTTGGAGTGGCCAGAGAGCGTCGGCGTCGACATTTGAGTGGACAGTATCCTGGTGCATTGTCCTCTCTGCTTGGTACATGACTATCTGGGCTACTTCATGATTTTGCAATTTGGATTTTTGTCTATCGCTCTCGCTCATATTCCTTGCACAAGTCTCTCCTCCTCCCTACCCTGAGAGGCGGGCTGCTGACAGCACTGAGGGGAGGGGACATTATGTCCTTTTTTCCTTCGTTTTTTTTTCTTTCTAGGAAGAAGAATCTCGGCCGTTTCTAATGTCTCCCCATGAGACGCGAGGACCAGAGCCCCTCGGCATTGCTCCAAGCCCCTATGTGCCCTCCCTAAGTGGATTCGGCCTGAAAGCAGAGGGGGCCCCAGACAGTTGCTGGAGGACAAAGGGCCCTGCGGGTTGGTTTAGGCCGTAGGCCTTGGCCGTGAGTTGGTTGCACCCCGGGCGTTTCCGGAAGTGCCCCGCGTGGACGGTTGAGCCTCGCGGCATCTTCAACCACCAGGTAGGGCCCGACAGTTGAAGATGCTGCCGGCCTTAGTTGCTGAGGCCCAGGACCCTTACAGTTTGAGCCCCAGGCACATTCTGGCAGGGCCCTGGGGGACAGCTACTGGGACAAAGGTGTGCAGCCACGCCAGGCCCTAGCAGCCAGTCACTTTCCATAAAGGAAAGTACCTGCCCCAGTCCAAAACACATTCTGGCTGGACGCCACTGCGTGAGAGCTGCTTGAGCGCACAGCAAGGCATGGTGCTGGCCAGAGGAG